CACCTTGGAGAACAGTATGGAGGTTCCTTAAAAAACTAAAAATAGAACTACCATATGACCCACTAATCCCACTACTGGGCATATACCCTGAGAAAACCATAATTGAAAAGGGGACATGTACCACTATGTTCATTGCAGCACTATTTACAATAGCCAGGACATGGAAGCAACCTAAGTGTCCATCGACAGATGAATGGATAAAGAAGATGTGGCACACATATGCAATGGAATATTACTCAGCCATAAAAAGAAACAAAATTGAGTTACTTGTAGTGAGGTGGATGGACCTAGAGTCTGTCATACAGAGTGAAGTAAGTCAGAAAGAGAAAAACAAATACCATATGCTAACACATACATGTGGATTCTAAAAAAAAAAGTGGTTCTGATGAAGCTAGGGGCAAGACAAGAATAAAGATGTAGATGTAGAGAATGGACTTGAGGACTTGGGGAGGGGGAACGGTAAGCTGGGACGAAGTGAGAGAGTAGCGTTGACATATATACACTATCAAATGTAAAACAGATAGCTAGTGCGAAGAAACTGCATAGCACAGGGAGATTATCTCAATTACTTGTGATGACCTAGAGGGGTGGGATTAGGGATGGCAGGAGGGAGATGCAAGAGGGAGGGGATATGGGGGTATATGTATACATATAGCTGATTCACTTTGTTATACAGCAGAAACTAACACAACATTGTAAAGCAATTATACTCCAATAAAGATGTCAAAAAAAAAGATCCACAGGGGAGAAAAAGATTAGAGACTGAGTCCCACCAAGTTATAGATGATCAGGACATACCTTGGGTTTTCCATTGATCTACTCTGACAAAGCATACAACTAAGCACAAAAAGTTCAAGATTAGTAATTGAACTGCTACTAGAACAAACACCAATACCCTTTAGAGGAACATAACAGAATTCAATATCTCTACAACATAGTACCTACAAATTCCATTACTCAATAAAAAACACTTGAAATGGGAAAAAAGAAGTAACCCTCACCAAGTCAATCCAAAATGTATCTAAGATTACCCACTGTGTGCCAGCAGGATTTTGCATCCTCTTGACCACCAGGGACTATATTTTTCTAGCTGATTAAGATATCTTGTTAGCTCTGAAATTTTCCTTCAAATACCAGATCACTGAAAAGTTGTTTTATTATGGTCATCCTCCAGAGGTACTGGCTGCAAGATGACCAAATTTGGGTTCAGAATTTAACATACCCTCTCATCTAATTGGTCATCCTATTCCTTTCCCTTCTAATAAGAAGATCCAGGCTAGGAGAGCTGAATTCCAATAATTGCCTAATACAGCTCACATTTCCCTGCAGCAGCAGCAGTACCAGCAAAAGCAAGAAAAAAGCAAAGTGGACAGGTTAATGCCGCCCCCAAATTTAGTCCATGTATACCCTAGAGACATAATTTTTCAGGTTAGACAACATAGTTAAATAGAAGCCCTTGTGTGATCTCTCCTTGAGAGTTATTTCCCCACCCATCCTATTAAAAATTAATTTTAGATAATTAGAAGTCCTCTACAGGCTGTTTCTGCCATTAGCCTTTGTCAAGATATTAGCCAATTCCCTGCCATAAAGATTGACACCTTTAAGTAAAGCAAACCTACTTCTCATAGAGTAGACTTTCTAAATGACCTTATCTATTTATTCCTAAATTTAGATAATGCCAGTGCTGAAGGACCTCATGCATTTTCTGTGAGGAGGATAACAAGCACACACTTTGCCAATCAGCTATAATCCTTAAAATTAGATGCTGTGAATTTTAGTATGTTCTAATGTAACCAAGCCCTAGATGCAATCTCAGAGCCATCTTTGCTGTTTCCCGATCCAGGGTTGATGATTGGGCTTACCTAATGTGCATGGGCATTACCTAAAAGAATAACCTTGCTGTAGCTTCTAAAAATTGCATAGCACCCAAAACCAGGAGGTTTGTTTCAATATGTGCCCAGAGTAGATTTAAAAAAAAAAAGTCTTGAGTCTTATTATTTTCCCTGATTGGCAAGTACAGAAAAAGAAACTTCCGTCACTTGGTCCTCTGTCTTGTACATAAGGTGGTACTTGGCATAAATATTTGTAGGGATCTTAGTGAAAAGGGTTCCTGTCTATAATGAACTGCACAGAAATCATTACACCTGGTGTCACATCTGGCACTAAACAGTTATAAATGTTAATGAGCAAAGGACACAATCATTTTTCATTTTTTGACTTGAAGGAAAGAAAGGAGGGGAGAAAAATAAAATTTCTAAGTTCCATTGGCTATTCCACGAACAACTATGCAAGTTTAATCCAATCTCTTTAACTGGCAAAGGCCAAAGGACCTCACAGACTGTATGAAACAAAATTTTGTACTCCAGATTTGCCAGAGTAATTTGCCAACTCAAATAGGACCATCATAATGAGAGTGCAAATAATTATTTTTCCTACATAAAACAGTAATATTAAGAGGATTGTAGGGGCTAGGATGGGGGTTATGATGAGAGTGACGAAATAAGGCAAGAGTGAAAACAACTGCTTCAAAGGACCCCCATCTTCATCAGCTATGTGCAACTTAGCTTTTGTGTCTTTTATCCATTCCATGCTTGGTTTTATTTCTGTATTTTGAAGTATTTGAAGTATTTCTGTATTTCTGTATTTTGAAGTATTTCTGTATTTGAAGTATTTCTGTATTTCTGTATTTTGAAGTAAAAAACAAACACTACACACACAGACATGCACAAACCAACATCAACCTATTAGTCTTCCCTTTCTATTCCATATACAATGTAAATAGAAGGAGGAAGGCATAAGAGAAAAGACCAACTGTATTCAAACCATCTCCACTGCCCAGACCTGTACAAAAAGGTTTGTTCCAATATTACAATTGCTATATGTCCTAGGAGGTAGCTGAGGGTAAACAGATGGGGAAGAGGAGACTGAAACAATTCAAATACATTCACTCTAAGGGGAATATCTTTTGGGGTAATGTTTCTTTTTTTTTTTTTTTACATCTTTATTGGAGTATAATTGCTTTACAATGGTGGGTTAGTTTCTGCTTTATAACCAAGTGAATCAGTTATACATATACATATGTTCCCGTATCTCTTCCCTCTTGTGTCTCCCTCCCTCCCACCCCCCCTATCCCACCCCTCTGGGTGGTCACAAAGCACCGAGCTGATCTTCCTGTGCTATGTGGCTGCTTCCCAGTAGCTATCTACCTTACGTTTGGTAGTGTATATATGTCCATGCCACTCTCTCGCTTTGTCACAGCTTTCTTTAATAAAGCTCACTGCAGATATGACACCACTTGCCTACACTGAGAAGACAAAGCTAAGAACCTGTAATAAGCCACAAACAGTCTCACACTTGATAAGAATAAAGGGGCAGAGCATTAAAATGTTGATCTTTAAAGGGCATCTGCACATCAATGATAACTACATCTCTGTGTGTGTGTGTATTTTTTTTAACAGCATCCCTCCTCATAAATAATAAGGAAACCAAGAAAACAAGACAGCATACGCAGGTAGCAACTTGTTTTTGTTATTCAGATTGGATTTTACTTGAACTAAGCTATCATAATACAGATGGCTTTTTAAATTCTCAATTCTTTTTTTTGCTTTCAGATTCTGCTATAGACATTATAACATAACCAAGTGAGGAAAATGGGATCCAGTCCAGCAGGCTACATCGCTAGTAAGTAATATCTCCAAGTATTTTATTTCAGCAATAATCAATCTGAGCCAAGATTGAAAGTGAAAATGTGACTTCAAAAGTAAGGCAAGGAAAGACAGCCACGTAAAATAGGCCAAGCTGGAGATATTATACGTAAAATGTTACACACAAATACAGCGGAAAGAGAGTCACAATATACAAAAACGTGTTAAAGACATTCATAAGTATTTAATGGGGGAGAAAAAGCCAATATAGTCCCCTACCTTTACCATTCAAGAATCCTTTGGACTTGAGTAGTGTTACTCTATTTTAATAACCTGTGACCCACTTCTGTGAAAGATTTATTAATATACTATCAATTGAAGAACAATACTATTCTTTAGCAATTTCAATTATCAAGTATTCTCACCTTAGAAAACAAACATTAACCAAACTCCAAGCTCCAGCCAGTATTTATTGCTTTGAAAAATAGGCATGTACTTTATTGCCTGGGTTTTAGACTTAATGAGAAATTAAAGAGCATACATTTAATTCTAGGAAGTAACTGAATTAGAAGCCAGCAGAAAGTCCCATCCACAGTCTTTTGTTTTCATATACCAATACATTCCTCAACGCCTTACTGGAATGATTACAGACAGAAAATCAATTCTTAAAATCTCATGCATGATTTGTAATTATAGCTAAAATGTATAATCAACGCTGAAAGACATATATATCCAAGTGTTATTAAACAATGATTAAGCTCTGATTGGGATATCTACTGGCTACAGCTAATCTCTTAGTACAATCATGGCTGCCTACCAGACCACCATGTTCTAGGAATAGATATTTATTCTCAAGAAATTCCTCTTCAGGCAATTAGCTAATATTTCCAAACTTGGAAGGTTTAAACCTCTGCCTGTTAGGGATTTGGTACAAATGTGAGGATGTGAGGAACTAAAGCTCACTGATATTTGTCAAAAACTTTCATTTAAACTGTAATGCTGCATACGCAATTAGGAGGCAAAGAATATATACTTTTAAAGGTTTCCTGTCTTCTCATTTGCAAATGTTTGCTCCCAGGTGTATATGCAAATGTAACCAACCCTAAGAAGGCCCTTAACATTTTATTGTCCACTGAGAGTATACTGCCACTGAAGTTGAACAAAATTCCACTGGTTTCCCAGAATTTTGTCAGGGGTAGGCTAAAATCTCATTTTTACTTTGGCTACTTTCCAACATAGCTGGATTACAAGTGCTTCTGTTTAAAGGTATTTGTAGTTAAAGATACAGATGCTCTCTAAATGCTCACAAAAAGCATATATTTTTGACCAAATCATGAGAAGTTGCCAGCAACTTACCAGAATTTCTCTTTGACACCATCTTCAAATTTGTGCTGACTACAGAACACACCACAAGGGCCAAAAGAAATGGTGGCTTCATTGTTCACTTTCCTTGGCAGCTGAAAAGTCAAAAAAGGATATGAAGTTTGAATCACAGATCTTGGCCTCAACAAAGCAGCAGCTATAATTTCACATACCTTGAAGACACTTTACAGAAACAATGACATTTTGGCGATTTCTGGCTTTATTTTTATGCAAATGGAAGAAAATATGCAAGTTCACAAGAGCATCATGTCAAAGTTCCCTGCTCAGAACTTTCAATGGTTTCCCACTGGATTTAGAGTAAAATCTGAACCCCCTCCATTAGACTTTCATGGGCCTGCAGGTAGGGCCTCTGCTGCCTCTTTGATCTTATTCCACAGCACTTTCCTCCTTGTTGGCTATGCTCCATCCACTATGGACATTGTATTTGTCCCTGGAGCATGCCTTAGTCATTTCCTCCTCATGGCCTTTGCATTAGGTCTTCCTGCTGGAATACTCCTCCCCATTCTTCACTCACATTCATTAACATCCTATAGGTTTCAGTCCCACAAAAAGGCCTTTCCTGACTACCCAATCTTAAAGTCTCACTCCGTCATTCACTAGCTCACTTCCTTGCTTGTTTTATTCATAAGACTGATCAGCACTTACAGTTATTGTGTTTATGTGACAGGAAGAGTTTTTACTCAACTTTGACATTGATGTTTTAAAATCAGCAGCACCGAACCTTAAATAATTGGAATGAAACTGTTCTGAAATGAAAAATAACTGAGGAAAGTATGGAACTGAACTGAGATATTGTTAAGAATCCCCCAAAAGGGAACAGAATTGACTAAAGCACGATCATCGGTAGGCATTTGGGGAAAAAACAAAAACGTTTTTAAGTGTTTATTCCATTGAGTTAAGACTTTTCAGTAAATCGGTTCCTATATGAGGGCTCATTTAGAATCCTTTACAAATCAGAATATAAGCACCACAGAGGTACATTGGGTACATCATAAACCCAAGATAGAAAAATAGCAAAGGGGACCATGAGGGTGAAACCACAGAGATCCCTGAAATAATGGATGGAAGCAAACCTGAATGGAAAGACAAAAACAAGCTCTGGATAACATTTAAAGATCCAGAATTCCATATAATGATTTGTCTTCTGAATAACTGGTTTGTACCTAAATGTGCAGAACCTTACCCAGAATGTAAGAGTAACAGGATGATATCAAGTGTTGGGTGGGATCCTCTTTCCCCAGAATTGACCAAAAGATCCACCTGATATCCTAAATTCAGAAAAATTCATGTTTGGGTGAGGCCACCAGTTCAACTATTCAGTGCAGCTAGTTCCTTATCATACTGCCCACCCCACCACCACCACCAATTCCATCAATAAACAGAGGTCTGGGAAGGAAGAGGAGGTCTTTCGATAACAAAGACAGGCTTTGCTTTCCCAGTTGTCATGCTGGACTTCCCTTGTACCACTGAAACAGGAATAAAGAACCCTGGGGAGAGATGGTATGCTGGAGGTTTCCAGATGACCAGGGGGCCAGGACTAATCCCTATCCATCCCCAACATACACCAAATTTCCGGGTCCCAAGAAGCATGGAAGTTAGATTTGGCATATTACCAACGATCCATCTTAGATTGGGTAAACAGATGATTCTTGTCATAGGCTTTGCAACATGGGGCAAAATGAGTACACCTGAGAGGAAAGTGGTATGATGCTACCAGCTAAAACTGAGGGAAGATGTAATCAAATCTTTCCAGGGACTTCCAATGTCCAGAGGAGATGCCTGGAGGAGAATCTCATCATCAGGCCTGCTGTAACTACTACCTGTTTATACAGCACATACAGACAGCTAAATGAGAAGTTATGACCAACCAAGGAGAAGACACCATCAATCACAAGCATTTCTTTTTCCTCTCCCTCTTCTCCAGTCACACCTATCCCAATGCAACACCAAAGGAGAAGGTACAGAGGAAAGACGAAGAAGAAGGGAAAATATGTGAAAACCTACCACGCACCCTCCAAATTCCTATCCATGAGAGCCACATGTCTCCTCTGTTTGAAAAAAAAAAAAAAAGGAAGATACAATATTTGAATCAGATAGGATTTTAAAGTCTTTAAAATCAGAAGTCTTTAAAATCAGAACAAAACTCAGTAAACATCTGAAAAATGATAGAATCAAACTGAAATGTTTATCACTGTCCCTGACTCCTAGCGGAAAAAGTAAGTACAGTAGAGCACATGAAGTAGTAATTAGGAAAAACAGTACCATACCATGTTTATACTTCAATGAGTTGAAACACTTAATAAATCAGTTACATTTATTAGCTTGGTTGTTTTTAACCACTCCTTGACTACTAACATGTAAGCTTCATGAGGGCAGTCACTTAGTCATTAGCTGTTATATTCTCAGCATCTATCATAGAGCTGGACATATAATAGGTTATCAGTAAATATTTTAATGAATGAAAGGGGAATATCAATGTAGATAACAACATATCAAGGGTTCAAGTAACACAAATAAATTGCAGCTTTCAGTGGTTTTCTTCCCAAGTTACCCATTTATTTGAAATAGAATCTCTCTTATCTAATATATGATTATCCAAATCTGAGATGGGCCCCATCTCCTGCTGTAGCAGACTCTGTTGGTACCTTATCCATATCCTCTTGGGCCTCCCAAAAGTCATCTGCACAGAAGTCTTCCTGTGTTTCTTTGCCAGAGGTGCTTCTCTATCTGAAAAAGCAGCTTGAATAGCATAGGAGGCTGTTTGGAAGTTCCAGGTTGTTAACACACCGTGAGTGATTCTCATTCAATGATATGGGAGTTGGTGAATAAATACCCCAGCTTCCTCACCCCTTGGAATGTTCCAGTAGGACTGAATGGCAAACTGCTCATTAGCACACTCTATTGGCTTTTCCTCCCTTCTAGTTTGGCTTTGCCATTCCCTTGCAGTACTTGCTGGGATCACCTCCCAAATAAACTACTTACATCCAAATCCTTGTGTTTGAGTCTGCTTTTGGGAGATCCCAAACCAAGACTCTGAAAATACCATTATAAACTCCACACATTTCTTTGTTTTATGTTGACTATCTGTCCAATTTCCAGCTCAAAAGATTATGTAGCCTCTGGACTTTCAAAAGAAGGCTTATACTTCAAACTTCTCCTGAACCACAGGCACATTCTAGCTCTCCTGTCTTGTCTCCCTTTTTAGAACTTATATCACCCCCAGTGACTTTGATAAGAACGTTGGCTCATCTCTGATTTAGCTCTTCCTGCTGTATTCGCTCAGTTACCAACTCAACCTTGCTGCTTAGCTATTAGGAGACTTCCAGGGTCTCCCTACCCTCAACCCATCTTACTCATGATTGTACCTTCACTATTTCTATCTAAAAGTTGACAGTTTGTAAGGACTATAACTTGCCTAGAATATCATTTTAAGGATTCTAATATTTTGTAAATGGTGACAAAATTAAAGATTATTTGAAAAGGACTTTTTAAAGTGTTACTTTACCCAGTAGTTATAATTTTCACCCAAAGCAAGAACTGTATTTCATACCTGTTATTCAGAGATATTAAGGGTAGAAAACAGCTGACAAAAAAATATTTCTACTTCCTTAGTCAACCCCTTCCTATTCTTTGTGGAATAAAATGCTTAATGCTTGACTTTGACTAGTGAAATCATCATGGGAATTGAATACGTTAACCACAGAACTATTTCATATACTCTCCTTCTTTTCAATTAAAATCAGCGGGTAGTGTATATATGGCCATGGCTCTCTCTCGCTTTGTCACAGCTTACCCTTCCCCCTCCCCATATCCTCAAGTCCATTCTCTAGTAGGTCTGTGTCTTTATTCTTGTCTTACCCCTAGGTTCTTCATGACATTTTTTTTCTTATATACACTACCAAACGTAAGGTAGATAGCTAGTGGGAAGCAGCCGCATAGCACAGGGAGATCAGCTCGGTGCTTTGTGACTGCCTGGAGGGGTGGGATAGGGAGGGTGGGAGATGCAAGAGGGAAGAGATATGGGAACATATGTATATGTATAATTGATTCACTTTGTTATAAAGCAGAAACTAACACACCACTGTAAAGCAATTATACTCCAATAAAGATATTAAAAAAATTACATGTACCCAGGAGGTAAACCAATCCTATGTTGAATTTCTTATAAAATGTTAATTTAAAAAAATCAGTGGGGAATAGAAAAACTGGATGTATTGAGTTTTTTAATCTGTATATTTGCCAATCCTATTTCCACAGGAGACTTCATTAATTCAGCAAACTCTGATGAATAACTATTATATTTTATGATAATAATTATAACTTATTGAGCATTTTTGTGTGCCAGATAATGCAGTGGACTGTGATATTGTATTTTATCCTATTAATGACCATGTGAGCTATTATTATCCCCATTTTATTTTCAGAAAACTGATACTTGTGGCTTATCCAAGGCCACAACAATAGTAAATTAAGGAAGAAAGGATTTCATTTTAGCTCTGTGTGACTACAAAACGCAAACTCTTAACCACTACTAAACTATATTTGCCCTAGAAGTTAGATGCTATGGGAGTCATAAACCATGTCTAAGATTATAAAACATCACTTCTTGCCATCTAGTATGCATGCACACTGGAGTGCTTAGTCAAGTGCAAGACAGTAGAGAACAATCTGTATATGTTAGGTGGTAAGGGAATATAGAGTAAGAAGCGTGTTTGGTAGCATGTTCAGTAGGTGATTCAGATTTGCCACTGAAAGGGAGAATCTGCCAAACTGCCAATTCAAACAGTCAAAAAGAAAGGCCAGTGCAATCAATCTCCTAGCAATGCTCATCTGCAACAGCAATCCACCTGAAATATCATCACTGATCAAGGAATGTGACCACTGGGCTGCCAACATACGTTTCCACACATCTGTTTAAACACTAAAAGTGTCAGAAGCAGCTCAGGTTATCCCCTGGAAATCTTACACTGAAATTTAGGTTTATTACATTATAACTTTTCCCTCTTTGTGATTTTACAACCAACTCACTGTTGTGTGAAGAAAGTGTACAGAAGCATGTATAATATTTTAAATG